TAACTGACATAGGGTACTTACAAAATTTGAATATTTACAGGAAAATGATAAAATCTTAATGAGTATGAGAGATCCTATGTTAGCTTATGTGCAAGATAAAATTGTAAAAATTAAAATAATTCTATTGGCTACAAAGATTACAGCAAGGTTCATTTTTCTTATTTTTTTTCTTTTTTTTTTTATAAAAACAGGTAAACTTGGCGAATCTCTTTAATTTTCGGTAATTTTTGACCTTAAGAATGGCCCGAGATATTCAACAGAGTATTTGCCATAGCGTTTGCCATTTCGTAATGTGGTATTTTTAGATATTTTTACTAGCCTAGCAAAGACAAAGCAAACAAACAAACAGACAGACAAACTGACAGACAGACAGAAAGACAGACTGATAGACAGACAGACAGAGAGACTGACAGACAGAGTTTCCAGGTTTTAGGTTTCCAGGAAAGCGACCAAGGGTCAAGCTAAACGCTTCCATACCCATCACGTATTCTCAGCAGTCTCTCCCGAACCCAGCCTGACACTCAATATATCGTTGAAAAGAGGTTGCTGTTTTTTTCCTCTGGCTAAGTTTCATTTCCCATATCAAAACACTCGTCAGTTTGCCATGAGAAATATTTAAACTGATACAGCTTCATTGATTTTGTCTCACTTATTACTGCTTCCGTGACTACACATGTGTATAGGGCATTTTCACTCACGTGGCCAGTAGCCATGCAAAGTTATAGGAACAAACAAAAGTGCTAAAATTTGAAAAGATTTCAACTCCCACAGGATTGGTTTGGTACACTAACATGGCCGCCGTGTCATTGTTTTGGGACACCAATATGGCTGCCGTGACCTCATGTGAAAGCACTCTTACTAAAGTGTTATCTGGAATCCGGTTATTTTATATACATACCTGGCTGTAGTGAAGAGCCAGACCACAGTAACCAGCAAATAACTCAAATGAACTTGCATCTAAAGGACAATGCAAAACAACAACATAAGAAATGAAATGACAATAACATGAATGAAAGAAAAGGCATGTTTGACAAGCGCTGGGTTGAAAGTGATATGTCCTAGACTTGCCAAAGTCACTTTTGCTAACCCTTCGCTTATCCCTCTCCGTCGAGCGAAACGAGAGGGAAATCTTTGAGAGACGAAGTGGCGAGCGTGAGCGAAGGGAATTATTGGAAAATACTTTTAGAAAGTCTAGATATGTCCATAAAGGGAAAAACGGTTACTTCTCTAGTAAACTATGTTTGGACGTTTCAAGAAAATAAATCTCCTTCACCGGGTTTTTACGGAGAGACTTGAAAACTTCTCTTACTCGAAATGTCGGTCAAAACAGTGCTTAGTTTGCGTTATGCACTTTCTTGAAACAATTCACCGAACATTTAAAACAAAGTGTATTAGGAAAAACCATTTTGTTTCAGGAAGGGTGTTTTTTATTTTTGTCAGAATTTATAAGTTTTATTTTCTTACGCTGAGTGTGCACCGAAATTTGCAGTGAACTGTGATGAAACAATTTACCTTCGTTTGAGAAGAACCCTCTCCTGCTGTTAACCATCTGTACGACACCAATCACACTACAAGACAGAAAGATCAAAAGAACTGTGTTTGACATACGAAAAAGAGTGCCAAATTGAGTGAAATATAAATTAAATTACCCTTAAAACAGTGAAGGAACATTTCAATAACGCAACAAATACAAAAGAAGGTACGGATGGACAGAAATTGAAGAAGATTAAAACGGATTACGATATGGGTCAGGCTTACACAACTTTATCTCGCTTGCTATTTGCTTGTAACAAAGCTATAGGTCTTGACAATTATATACATAGAAGTAATTTTTTCGCTAACATTACGTTTCATACATAGACTAAACTCAGCAGTGACAGTCCCTCTAACATTTAAAGAGTCTGTGAAACGTAGTAATTGATGAAATGTTTGGCTCTTTGGGTGTAATATTCGAGGAGAAATATGCTTGCAAAAAATGCAAAATTTCCGAGTGGCAAAAGCGCTAATGAGCTCATACGCATATTTTCTTTGCAAAATTTTGAGTTTTTAAACCCCACAAAAAGTATTTAAATAAATACATCGTGCTCAAATTCCCAGTTAATCGTGCTTTGCCCTTTCAATATTCAGAACTAACGTCTTTATAGCTCCATTAGAAACTGTATCGCTTATGCTAATGAGGCAAATATTGTAAACAAAGATTCTCCTATCGCTTATTGAGTTTTAAAACACCCATGAAAATTAGCTAACGTTGCTACCTTCCTTTACACTTTACAGGAACACACAATATGGACTTTGTTATGTAGCCGGTCTTCATATCTACTTCTCGGTTGAATCTCGCATCACGGTACGGATCACTGATGTTCAGAACTTCCGATGTACTCGCGACGTAGCCCGCAATACCTTTCTCAATCGGAAATCTTGAAGAAAAGACAAATACAAGAGTGCACATTTCAAAAGTTGTTCAAACTGAGCCTTTGGAAAATTAAACACCTCTCAGAACTCTAAATAAAAAACAATCAAAGAAGATATGCGATAATTTTTCATTTTATTTTGACGTAAAGCTCTCGTCCTTGAGGTGATTCCCTAGTAAAAGAACCCGCCATAGATTTCCAATGAAACTTGGTATGCTGTTGTTACAGGACAAGGAGATATTAAAATCGTAGTAAAAAGAGGGGGTCACCGTGCTTGTTTTCACGCCACATTACAATGCTGACAAATACACTTATTTAGGTGACTTTTCGAAATCTCCGTGCGCAACAAATAAGCTCGATTATTTTTCAATGCAGCGTGTTATATCACACAGAGTTTGACTTCCTTGATTGTTTATTCATCTACGTCCCAGAAAAAATGTCTTCAAATACCCTGCATTTTTTTATTCTTTAAAGGAAACATAATTTGGACATGCGCTGTTGGGTCCGTTATGTCTCCCTCTGTAGTATTTATTTGATTTGATCTGGTAATTTTTTTTTCTCAGTTATCGAGGATATCATTCTCATTGAAATTATGAAATAAAAAGTGGGAGTCACCGTGCTCGTTTAAGAGAAAAGGAACATTTATCTCGCTATCGAGCTTAGTTTGAGGGAAATCTCTTTAGTTTTGTACGCGCACGCGCTCATGTGCGCGCGCTAATGACCCAAAAATCGTGCGCAGTAGGGATGCGCAATGCAATACTAAGGAATCACCTTAAATAAAAAGTTGACGCAATATCAGCTGGGATTTAGCATTATTTGAAATGCTTTAGCGAAAAAAACACCTGATCCTAATATGCTGTTAACTGTATATATGGTTCGCCGCTCCTCAGGCAGTTTCCAGTAGTTTTGTGGTCGTGACCCTGTTAGTAAGCTTACAGTATCATGGACAAATGTAGACTGCAAGCAGAATCTCTTTTGCTCAGAAATCCGCGGGTAAAAATGCAAATGAATGGAGGCGAGCGGTGAAGCCGCGAGCCGCGAGTAGCGCGGGCGTCGGAAGATGAGCGAAAAGAGAGACTGCACTGGTTTCAAACAACATTTCTGAAGCCCGGAACTGTGGCGACGGAGTAATTCCATTGGTAACTCTATTCTATTGGCCGATTTACGTTCGTCCCTCGCGGATCTTCGACCAGAAGAGAGACTGCTAGCAGTCTAGCCAAATGAACTACGGACAGTTCCTTACAAGGTTTACAGAACAAAGTCTTCATAGCGATATCTATTTGTTCACCTTATTTCCGCTCCGTTCCTAAATTTGAATCCGGATCCATCTTCGTCTCCTTCGTCAAACAGATTCGCGTATAACTCATCTGATTTCGAGTCCACCATAAACAGTGCGCATCGATCTGCATTAACTAGCCTTTTGGCGAAAGCCTAAAGTAGAAACAAGAATATTTTAAGCAAAAGACGCGGATAAGATTTGAGTGCTGATGTCGGGAAGGGGAGAAGGAAACTCCTCTCTGTAGATGTTTTGCGCGATTACTCACTTCCTGCACTTCTTCTTTCGTGACGACTTGGAATACAAAACACCGCCTTGGTGTTGAACCAGTAAACTAACAGGTCTAGGAAGGTCGGTTGGAGCAGTTGGAAGAGCACACTGTATATGAAAAACCTGAACTACCTACCATTATTTTTTCGATAACAACATCCATCGTACTGACTTCATCAAAAATAGATCTGAGAAAGGCAACACAAAACAAGAGCTTTGCTTAGCTATTCGCTCTATAAAGAACTAACAAATCAAGCCAAACAGAATGTTTTCAACCACTTGGCTCGTATGCAGACTTCACCTATTTCGTTCCAACTCACCTGACAACATTCAGCAAGAAACTGTTAAGGTCCTTCTGCTTTTGCATTTGTTTCGAAATCTAAACGCGATGAAAAAAACGCATAGTAAGGCACATTTTTCAGAGCGGTCTAAACTTTGATAGCGCGCTCACACATTGTTTTCACCGGAGCTGTCCAGTTTCAGACAAAACGGGGAAACGTTTTCCACCTAATAGAGAACAGTTTTCATTAATTCTTTTGTGCAAAATCAGGAGTGAGTTTAATTGTAGACTCCTAATTTTGGACAAAAGAACCAATGAAAACTGTTCTCTGTTAGCTGGAAATCGTTTCCCCGTTTTGTCTACAGTTCAATCTTGGGTAAATGTTCATAAAGCGGACAAAAAAGATGAACTGACCAAAGAGAGCAAGATATTCAGTTAATGTCTGACACAGAGGCCAACGAAAGAGGTAAGAAAATCGATGGTTGTACGAAAGACAACCTATAAGTTATTTCATCTTTCATCTTCCTTTTTCTATAATTTCACCATGCAAGGGTTTGGTTAATTTCGTTTATCACTCACCTCAGCATGGTGGATAGCAATACTGCCCCAGGCAAGATAACTATTGACAATCTACAACGTGTAGAAAGAAAATAACATTAGGCAAGTGAATGACACTGAAAAAGGACGCGCAACGTTGACCATAGACAGAGGCATGGAAACTAGTACTTAGACCGCCACGCAACTAATCATAAGAAACACAAACACGAATCCGCACAGCTCACAAATTGAAACGAATTTTCTCCAGGTGTTATTTTGGGCGATGCGGAACAACAAAGTGGAATTCCTTCTTTTGGGCAAGAAGCCTTAAATAAACCAACCAAATTCACCTCCTCGTCTTCTCGTTCAAATGGCGAATTACCAAGCTTTTTAACCAACTCGACAATACCTGTGAAACAATCACATTGAAAATATTTAGACAAGACTAGAGTGAGTGCACAAAAACTCCATACCTGTACTTACATTTTTACAAAAAGGGAAGCAGGAGTAACGTGAACGGTATTTGAACAAAAGGTATTACTGACAAAGACATTGCGACACAAGAAAGTCAAGTCAAGTAGCAATGACCATGATGATTTTCTTTCAACATGGTTTAGATCGAGTTTTTCAGTAAGTATAATGTTCTTAAACAAAACAGTTGCACGAGAAAGGTTGGACGAAATATTCACTTACAAATGTATAGAAAGGTTTGAGACCATTGCTTTTGGGAACTCGCCACTTCCATGAAACATAAACCACTACTGAATTTTGTCACTACTTCTGGTGGAATAAGCAATGAATGATTAAGCACAGCGTCTACTTACCAACTATAGAGCCATCTGCTTGCACAATGGGCTGACATAACACTGACTGAGCTGTGCTGTCTGAAACACAACAAGTGAAAGCGAAACAAACGTGAACCGTTTAATTAACAAAAGGAGGATGAGTATGTGCCTGACTGTGCATAGGCTCCCGATATGATTGGGACCTGATAATAGGGTGCAAAAGAAAACAGGCGAGCGGGGCTTATTTTTCGCGCCCACCGTGTTCACTTACCTTCAATACCGATCCCTTTAGGAAATCTTTCATCCTGCAGAGGGAAATAATGCTTAGCTAACAGAGTCGTGCAATCATACAACGTGTCAATAAAAGGACACTGATGACCAGCTCACTCAATTACAAGTGAAATCCTTATCTTCAGTGTTTCTTTTCTTGTATGTTGCTATTTAGGTTATGTACACAAGTTACATATACGCAGTAGACACACTTTGCAGGAAATCGCGACTAAGGCCGACTTTTTCTTCTTTTTTCTTTCTTCTTTTTCGCTCTAAAAATACGAATTTCTTTGTAAGTAAGATATCCTGTATATAAGATATGAACCAGGAATTAAATTGGAGGTTTTTGTTTTCAGTCTATCAGAAAACGACGACGGGACACAGCACAGTAAAAATGGGGCTCCCTGATCAAAACGTAAGTCTTGTACACAAAATTTATCGAGTTACAACTAAAAAAGGTTCACAGTAAGAGTGGATATTGACATAAAATATCGCATTACCCCGAGAATGTCCTTGACGAAGAGTCTCTCTCCTGTTTCTGCGACATAAGCTGCTACGGTACCTCCATATCCGATGGTTTGCCGGCACAGAGATCGGGATCTGCGACCAAACAATACACAAAAACCTAGTTAATATCTTTACTTCTTTCACTCGTTTAACTCAATTTTGAAGAACTGCGAGATGTAATCCCCATTTCAGTTGTACATGTCTAGCTTGGCTCAGGTCCCGACTACACTAATGCGTTTTTAAAAGTATCCGTTTTCGTCTCAACGAAAACGAAGCAAAATATTTCCGACCACACTATGCACTAGCGTTTTCGTTTTGTTTCACCTGTCCACGCTAATCCGTCTTCGAATGAAAACGCATACTTTTTGATACGTTTTCGCCTATCGTCCACACTAAAATGACCGAAAACGCTGATGGAAACGACGGTATATGACGCTTTTTTTCGGCATCGTTTTCAAAAGCCTCCTTTTCACCTGTCCACACTAGAAACGGAACGTTTTCAAAACGCTCCACTTTTGAAACCGTTTTGAAAGCGTTTTCGGTCGTTTTAGCGTGGACGATAGGCGGAAAGCGGAAAACGCCTCAAAAAGTATGCGTTTTCATACGAAAACGGATTAGTGTGGTCGGGTCTTCAGATAGAGCAGGCGTTTTGCTTATTAAAAAGGATATCGCAGATAAATTCGCCACAAATTTCAGACGTCTGCAGTCGAGTTACGTTTCAGTTTCAAAAAGAAAATTTCTCACTGTATGTCGAAAAAAAGCAATTTGCAACAAGGAAAGAAAATCGTTTACTATTATTCAATGATCCGAAGTTCAAATGTAGCTATATCCAGAGGTCTACGCCATGATAAGATTTATCTTTTAAAGCAAGCAAGAATTTACACAAGAATACATCCTTGAATAGAGAGAAACGGCGCTATGTTAAATCGATGTCGATACGCCTTTGTTATGGACTTCTACTATCTAGAGTGCTTGCAGTGTGTTTTTCTCTTGGAAATCAGGAAGTAAGTATTGTTCCCGTCTATGTCCCGTTTTCCGCGTCCTTTTTCACGAGGATAAACACTCAGGTCCAGGAGAAAAAGACCGATTGCAAGCAGTGTCAAAAACAACATATCACAGGCGGGCACGCGCTTTGAGAACTTTTTGTTGCAAGTTGAACTAGTTGTTGTTGTTTACCTTGGCTTGCTCTCAGAATATAAGTAAATGTCCTACGGAAGACAAGAGAAAGATATGATTAACTGCTTTACATGACTGAATACTACATGTACAAAGATGAATCGAGTTCTAAGCAGGTGCTGTTATAAAAAAGCACACTTCACCACGCACGTAGTTCGAAAGACAGCTAGTTTTCTTTGCTTGGCTCCGACGTTTGAGAAACAAAGCAAATAAAAAAAATTATTTCAGTGAGTTCCTACAATGCTCATTATTAAATACCCACTTAGTCATTAACTGCTACTAATGAAAAAAAAAAACAAATAAACAAACAAACGTCCATGAATATAAAACGCAGTCATTGACAGTGCTTGATACTTACTCTTCCATTCTTGTCCACCAAGTAAAGGGAATGTCTATTGGCATGTGTTGCTAATTTTTTTTAAAAGGTAGGAATTAAAATAAATTGATCAATAAATAACCAAACAAAATGAATACAGTGATTTAAAATAATAAGTTAATAATAAAAGAAAATGGAATTAACACATGCTTGTATCTACAGTCGAACCCTATTAAGCGGCCACCTATTAAACGGCCAGCCCTATTAGGCAGCCAGCAATCGAAGTCCCAATGATGGCTTTTCTATTGTTTCTACAGTACCTCTATTAAGCGGCCAACCCCTTTTAAGCGGCCACAGTCCATTTCCCCAAGGGTGGCCGTTTTATAGGGGTTCGACTGTATTTATGTTAACTTGCATCTGTTCGATTTATCGCCTAAACGTGAAGCGTGGAGAAACAAGGGAAAAACGAGGGTCCGACAAGACAAGGCTATCGAATGACTAAATCTCGAATGTGTGTAAGGTGGGACAGGAAAATCATTTTTTATCATGTCATGTGGGGCGGCTATAAATGTAAGCAGGCTATACAGCAGAATGGACTGCAGAGTTTCCCTGAAAATTTATACTTTGCAGGCACAAAGTATTTCAGAGATTGTTTCAGAATTATTATATCTAGTGAATGAGAATAGGATATCCAGAGAGGAAAAATATAAAACAAGATGAAACCTGCTACTCACCTGCTGCAACACTTTTGACAAGCTCATACATGACTCTCACTTTCTTTGGCTGTTGATTGATGTCCTTTGTCAATTGCTGGAGCATTTTGCGCTTGTCTGTATGCACACAAAACTTTAAACAACAACAACAAAAAATGGAAATTCAGCTTGTCAACTTCTAGATAGTGTTGTATTAAGTGTGCAATTGTGCCTAAATTTCATGACTGTACAATGAAGGATACAGTGGAACCTCCCGTAAGCCACCACCCAACATGTCAAGCTTAGGTGGTCGCTTACGAGAGTTTAGACCATATTGGATCAACATTTTGTCTCATTAGCATAAGGTAACTGCAAAGACTAATGTTTTAAATGCTTTTTTCACATGAGAAGTCAATTTCAAGGAAAAAGAAAGTACTTCCCATTGAGAAACTTCCGTCTTTTGTGCTATCCAGGAATATGACAATGTTACAACACCTTATAATCCAATTTCCGCTCTATAATCTGTCAAGCGGTCACTTACAGGAGGTTAAAAACAAAAGAAAATTTCAAACTTTTAGCTCTAAAAGTGGTCGTGGTTGCTTACGAGAGATGGCTGCTTACAAGAGGTGCCAAATATAGTGATTTGACTTGGAAAATTTTGGTATTTTGGAAAACTGGAGAGGTGGTCGCTTATAGGTGGTGGTCACAACTGGAAGTTCGACTGTACGTCTATAAATAATGTGACCTACAATATTCAAGAAACATCTTTGTTATTACCTTCCATTTGGAAAGTGATGGCCTTACTCCTATAAAATAGCAAAGAAAAAAATATGAATTTGAACAAATACATTAATAAGTTAATAACTTAAGATCAGTACTTCTTTTACATTATGCATGTGAATGAAATTAAAGTAAACTTAAATCTGCAGCTCTTCCAGAGTATATTCAATTGACATGGATGATGGAAAGTGACAATTCACTCTCTTGAACTTAGGCAAATTTATCATGATTGATTGAGAATTAACTTCAAAACTCAAATTCATACAGTGATACAATTTGATTAACAGCGGTAGTTGTTGAGTTTCAGTGTTTGAATTCCTATATTCACCTTGGTAATCTAATATCCAACAAGGTTTTCAATGAGCAAAACATTAACAACTTCCAAGGTAGAAACTCCATCTGTTTTAGTACACTAGTAGACTAGTAGGCAGCCTCTAATTCTCAAATGAAATCTCACAATCAGAATCTAATAGTTAAATATATTTAAATATATATTTTTTGAAATTATTTTTCCATGCATAAAATTAATAAATTTTCAGTGATTGAAGATAAAATTTTCAGGCACTAGCAGGTATGGAAGTGTCGGTTGATGACCATTCAGGGCTTTTATCAAAAGACCACATTTCTTTTACTATCTGCACTTAACTATGATGAATTTAAAGTTTTCAAATGGGCACTTACATGACTGTAATATTATACTGTACAAACCAAAAAAAAAAAAATGAAACCCACAAGGTGAGATTTGGTAGTTTCTAAGAATTTGACATTTCTAAAGACGAATATCCCATAATCATATGGAGGAAGTCGAAGACTAATGCTGCAAGCATATCCATTTTTCTAATATATTATATGTTAAAGTACTGATGGATGTGTGGATACCATTATTGCCATCTCCAGTGACAGGTTCCACAGCTTGCGTTTTTCTGATCAGCCATCTTTCAAGCTGCTCTTGGCTGATGTCTGCCATGATAAAGTCCTCCAGTACTTGAGGGTTGGCAGAAAGGTATTCTTTGACTCGCATCTCAGAGAGAGCTGCCACATAACAAAAAAAGCTTCTCATTTAGTTGTTGTTGCTGACATTAAAGTTTGTGTTATAACTGTGTGTGTTGAACTGTAAAATGGGTTTGCATATAGGCCATTTACAAGGCTTTTTGCCTCTGTGTTAAAACGAGTCTTTGTGCGAAACCATTCATATGAAAATTGTGTAGTTCCAGAAAATATCCATACCTCCCCCATGGAAGGGATTTTTTCTAACACCTCCCCACCCTCTGGAAATTCCAGTTAAGCTTCATACATTTCTTTAAATTTTTGGGTCATCCAGAACCTCCCACCCCCCAGGAAATTCCAAAGACTCGTTTTGAAACAGAGGCACAACGTAACTCAGAAATGGTGTATTTTCATGGTCTCAGTGAATGTGAAGAAAAACCTGTCTCAATGTAAATTTATGGGGGGGAAGGGTAGGGATGAGAAGTGTTGTAAACATTTATCAATTCCCACTTGTATGGAAATTACTCCAGGGAGGTGAGTGGAGGGGGTACACCTTCCATGGGAGGGATGTAGGTATTATAAGTAACCACACAATGATATGGTTAATTTTTGATGTATTGTAAAAAAAATAGTCAGCAATTGTATCAACTACTGTTAGAAACACTCTCTTCCTAACTTATTTGCTTACAAAAACCACACTTACATTTCTGATTTGTAAGATTACATTTAACATATTTCTATATCAAAACAAAATGCTTTTGGCAGAACTTTAATTGCTTAAAGTGCAATTCTTAATTGTCAAAAAAATATATTTACGAAAAAAAAAAATTCAAAATGATGATTAAATGAAATATATTTAACACAGTGTTGGAAGTAAAAATTACGTCCCAGATATCAGTTTGAAAAAACACTAAGAAATAAAACATAATGATAAAAAAAAAATCACGTGGGCAGATGTTTGACTTTTTACTTGTACAATTTTTAATTAAACCGTTTTCAAGACAAATGAAAACCAGCAAAACGCCAAATGTTCTGAGTTTCTCGCTGGCATTACTGAGTATTTCCAATACGGCATTCAAAAAGCTCCCTGATACAAAGCCTCTAAATGTAAACATCTTCATCTTAGCACGGAAATAATTCACCGAGTCTCGTTATTGTTTGAAAATTCTATTTCCGTTGGGCATAAAGCACCAAGAAAAACACGTTTTTCTTTGTCTTTCTGTTTTTGTGGCTTCTCTATATTTTCTTTTTCGCTCGATAATTCTTTAAATCTATGAAGTAAACTTGAAAGTTCAGTTTCAGCTGCGGTCGTCTTTTATCATGAATAAGTAATGCCTGTCGCTTTTCAGAATAGTCTCGTCGTGAATAGAACCTGACGACAGCTCTTAACATTATTTCAAAATAACTAGAATCACAGAAATTATATCAAAAACTTCACATCAGCGATCTATTTTTTCTTTAATATTGTGATACATGGAACCTCACTGAGGTCTAAATTTTAATTTAAGCTTAAATAGAATTGATAGACAGTGAAAATGTTTTTCCTTGTTTAATTTGTCCCTTATTTGAGTGAACGCAAAATTTGCATCTAAATCTGTGAGATCTGCCTGAGATGAAATCGCAAGGAGAGAAAATTACAAAATGAGAAAAAAAATTAAGGCATTGGCCCAAAAAAATGTTATTAACGTATCACTACCATAAAAGAATTGCCGCACGCAAATTCATTTTCAGCAACGGGTTACGTGCAATTATTGATATAAGGATAGATGTTTACTACACAACTAGCCAAGAGTATTAAAAGCTTAATTTAGCCTGGAAGCTTCGAATAATATTTTATATAATAATATCGGCCCAAAAAAATGTTAGTAACGTATCACTACCACAAAAGAATTGCCGCACGCAAATTCATTTTCAACAACCGCGGGTTACGTACAATTATAGATATAAGGATAGATGTTGACTACACAACTAGCCAAGAGTATTATAAGCTTAATTTAGCGTGGAGGCTTCGAATAACATTTTAGAAAGTTTAAGTCTTTATTGCAAAGCTCGAGTTTCAGTACATATGACAACGGTCTGTCACGGTTGGCCAAGTTCTGAGCGGGGAAAGACATAACGAAATTCAGTTAAGCTTAATAACGCTTAAAATTTTTTTCATTAGACCAGCTACCTGAGCATTCAAGCGATCGTTAGCAACAGCCATTAGAGATTTTATCGCCGGGGAAAGTCTATTTCGCAATGTCACGGTAAAACTCAAATTTTCAGATCGGCCCGCGGTAGTTGACAATTTGTAAACTTGACGAATCCAAGTCTTGCGCATAATAACTTTCATGCAGTACAAACAGAGTGCTTATCATTCAAACAAAACACACTTCACCATTCTCTAAACGCGAATTCGGGGCGAATATTGACGACCATATAACAACGATTCACAGCTTATTACATTTTAAGCATTTTGTAAACATTTCTCAGAGATTCTTACCACCAGAGGGTTTCCCTTTGAGGCCAGTGTGGGATTCATCGCTTACGTTTCCATTTTCTCTAAAATTACGCAGCGTTATTTGATTCGGAAGTGGAGGAAGCCTACGAACACTGACTTGCTTTGTTGGCGAAGACATCGTCTCTCCCAGATTGAACATTTGCCATAAAATTAAAATAGAAATTCCAACCTGAAATGTGCGCCAAAGCCATGCCCGCCACTGTTTACGTCGCCGTTAATCGTCATCTGTCGGAAGTGAAGTTATGCGCGCGCGAGCGTGCAAGGTCCTAGAAGGTTGCACCGGGGCGCCGGGGTCCGCGCTGGGAGGTTCGAGGACCCCGGAGTAAACTATCCAGGGGAAAATGCTTCAATTTTAATTTCATTTGTCAAAAATGACCGCTAAGGTTTTTTTGAAAATAATTTTATGTTTTGCGTATCTGAAGGAACACGCGGAGGATACAACGGTTAAATTGCGCGCAGCTTACCAAGAAGAATATGTTATAGGGGATCGAGGAACAAGTAAGGGGAGGGGAATTCCAGGCCTCATTGTCTCCTGTCTATTCCCTAGGCGAAGAGCAGCGTCTAACTATATGGAGATGTTTTGTGGTGGGGTAAAGGGTTTGGGGTTTCCCCTGTTCCCGGAAATTGGAAATTATATAAGGTTTTTGTGTACTACGGAACAAACCAATTTTGGAAAGTTTCCAAGCAAACGCAGATGTGCAAAATTCAATAACCCACCCAGTAGACTACAAAAGACGAAAACAACTAAAGTAAAATTACCTTTCATTGTAACTCAAACACACTAAATAATGTATGTACTGTACGAAGGCGAAAACCGAAAAATAAAGTCGACCTCAGTAAAGCTGATTGCAGAGGTTTCCCGACGTTCTTGGGAACTAAATTTAGAATTTCTTGGTCTTTTTTTTTTTCACCCTTTGTTGATTTGCTTTTCAGTCACTAGTCGTATCTCTGCTGTGAACATAGTGGAGTGTTGTCGATTGTGTTTGCATTAAAATGCTAACAAAAGTGACTTGTTTGTGTGTGTGATTGTGTGTTGGCAAATTACTTTTGAAGGGACGTCGGTGTGACAACAATTTACTTCTCAGCTGACACGGTTTATCCCTTTATTCAATTCCAGCGAAGCGAATTCGAGAAAAGCCGAAGCAATGTTTCATGAGAAGGAGTTCGATTTGATCGCGAATTGATACTTAATGGCTGATTCCAGCGAAAACTTGCGATAAATTGTACATTGGCACTGCCTTCGAAATGATGGGAAATGAATGACAGTGAAAGTGACACTGAAACTGACAGCCGATCGACAGATTTTTAGATGGACAAAACGTTAATATGTTCAACTGGTCCTTATCAGACAGTCCAAATGGGAAAATGACCTAAAAATAAACTTACAATGCTCCCCATTTGAACAGCTGACTGTTTAAAGTGACACCTTTTTTAAGCACAGCTAAACGCACAAATTAGAAAGCTTTTCGCAATCATCACTCACGATCAAAGAATCAGATCTGCATTTTCAGTGTTACATGGTTAGCAGGGGACGTTAAAAAAAATGACACACACTTATCGCAAAGAGTAGGCCAAGTAGGGTTCCCGGTGTTTGTGGCCTGGCCTTGTCACACGGGTTGCAGTTTCACATAGGGTAAACCTCATTGCGCCTTTGTCCAAGAAAAACGTCTATATCTATGTTAATGTCGATTCCCGCCGCTCTCTCGTGACCGGTCTTTGCTTCGTGAACAGGGGCTGGATATCGAGCCTATATTAAGCATTGTGGTCACCTGCCAGCCAAGTGATTTTAGTTGGTCTGGTCGATTAATACTATGAAATACCCTAATACCCTTGAGATACCGTTTACACTTTATTTCTTAGCTATTTTTCCTTGATAGAGATTTACATTTTCCGAGTTTTAGTTTGGCGTAAGGATAAATGGAAGAGTGAGACTGGTCCTTAGCGTGGCGCAAGCATTTAGAGGGCTCTATTATGCCAGACCGACCGGTCAGGAACTAGTGGGACTACGCGGGGGAAAAAAAAAAAAATGAAAAGGCATTTTACGATCAAACCAGGTCAACCAAGAGGAATGGCTCTTACCATTTTTGATTACTTTCCCGAATTCCCTATATAAGTGAAATCTACTGAAGAGAAGTAGGCCAATGAATCGCCTTGTCAGTATCGAACTGCAAATTTCGGTCCGAACGGTCCGATCGATCTGGTTCCGAATAATCCGGTCGGACCGAACCGAAAACAGACCTTTCCATTTGACTTCTGACCGAAATTTCAAGAATTTTGGGCATAATGGAAAGCACCCTTGGTCAATCTTGCTCCTCTCGCCCCTTGAAGCGATTCGACTAAACACTCCTCGTTGTAATACTGAAACATAACAGTTCAAAGAGAATTTTTTTTTTTTGTTTTCTTTTATTGGGTTTTCTTTTCAGTCGAATCTGCAGCTTGAGGAGAACAGCTCCGGAGTTTCTTTCAGCTTTCACAGGTTTTTGGATCCCGCTTTGCCATCGGATTAACCCAAAAGGTACTCAGACATTTAGCCTCCTAAAAAAACAACGAATACACATCATACAGTTAGAGACAGGCTTTATCGCTTCACAACAAGTTTCAAACAGTACGTAGAGAAAAATTCTTCGCCAGTCTGTAAGTTTTACATGGAGCGCTGTTGCCAACGAAATTCAAAGCGTAACTCGTTGAGAGTCAACGCTACAACAGTAACTGGGATTGCAACAGACTTTTGTTATACTTACCTTGACGGTACAATTAGAAGAGAGCTGGCTCAAAGTGAGGGGTGGAAGCTCGACTACCAAGCTACGAAGACAGAGAAAAATAAAATCCGTTTTAAACATGCAAGTTCGATTCATTACAACACGTAGAAAACTACATTTGCCCAAACTACCTTACCTAACAAAAACCAACCTCAATCCCAGGCTAGCTCTTTCTCCTTTGCCCCTCTTATTGTAAATTAAGGGGTCAAAGGAGACAACGCTTGAGATCGAAGTTCAAATAAAGCCTCTTTAGCTTCACAGCAATTCACTGAATTGTCATACAACACAATGACGCAAGTCACGCAACTACCCTACGAAGAAATTTCATTTTTTTTCATTTTATTTATTTATTCCATTCTAAAATTACAAAGATAAATATACAGTAGACAAGTGAGAGGAGAAATGGAAAAGGGCAAAAATATAGCAAGCTAATTAGATGCCCTTGTTTAATTGACAATAATAATTAGGGTAAAAAAGTTAACTTAACATAGAAGAGGAAGAGGTATGAATTAATTAATACTGAGCAAAATAATACTGGAAGAGTGCTTTTTTAAAACGTTTCCTAGTCGCTAAGTTACGTGCTGAATGATGACTCGGATTCAAACAACGGTTGCTAAGGAGTCTGTGGCCCTATGTTCTTATTTACACTGTCAAACAGATAGTTATTGATATGGCGCTCTGTAGAGAGAATGGATATTCTGATATGGAAGTAAAAAGACATTCTTACTCTTCTTTAGAAGAGAGCGACGTATTGGAACCGCTTCTGTCTAGACTATCAGTTTCTGGGCTCATTGGTTTCCTACTGGCACTCTTGTGGCTTCCGGATCGTGACTTCACACCTATAAACAAATGAACAATTACAAAAACACAAGAGATATCACGACATCAATTGATTAATGCGATAGTGTAAGGTCGTGTTTTATCACGATTGCCACCTGTTTAAAAAAGTACCCCAGCGTACGGCGCTATAAAGGCCTAGCTAAACTGGAGAACATTGCTCTGGAAACACTGTTTTTGAGGCAAATATTCGCAGTTTAGCCGCACGGGAAACATATGCTGCGGAAAGAAATTCTGCTGCTCGAAAACCAGAAAATGTTTTTCCCTCGGGTGAAAAACAATTTTGCTTCCCAGACACAAATTTTGCTTCCGAGACATATGTTTCCCAGTTTAGCCACCATGAAAACAATGTTGACTAGGTTCTAGAGCTGCTCATTAAAAATTTTTGCCAGCAACAACGAGCGTACAACAACGGCTGACCGCGAAGTCGAAGGTTACCAAAGGTTAGAATGGGAGACGGGCCTTTCTTTTCAGCGGTGCAACGATTTTTAATGAGCTTCCGTGAAACATTACCAAGAAAGAAAACTTACAGATGATCTGTGGCGGAGCAAGAAATTTCTTTTATAATAACAAAAGTACATTTTGAAAACTTTTTTACATTTATAGTTTTGTAGTTGGTTGTAAATGTTCTTAAATTTTATTAGTGTATTTTAGGCTTTTAATCTGTGTAACTTTTAGATACAGGGCCCCTATGGAGACCAGCCTCAAAGCTGAATGGGCTACCCTGTTTAAATAAAGTTTATTTACTTACTAGTCGAAGTAGAAGAGCAACAAGTAGGTGATAGAAAAGGGGAGGGACAGAAGGAAAGGAATTGGAAGAACGAGAGAGTTACTCATTGCCTTGTGTAACTGTTTGTGGGATGTAGCTCGTGAAGACTGCATGAATAGGGACAAAAAGGAAGTCAAATTGATGCCCAGATGTCAGAGAAATAGTATCACAAAGGACTATAAGTCAAAAATTATGACTATAAGTCATAAATTAAGCCGTCGTGGAATGAAGCCTTCTTCATAGCTTTATAAACCACTGAATTTTGCAAGCTTACCTTTACTTTTGCTGCTCGACGTCCTAGATTGTTTATTTTTGTTAGCACTTCCACTTGGTTTCGGCTGTACGCTA